TCGTCTTAAAGCCAATTTCCTTATTCCAGTCGGTGGAATTTTTAATGACTATTAAAAAAATGGATACTACTCCTTTGTTAATTAGCATATTTAAAACGAATTTGTAAATAAGACGGTAAATAGTTGACCTACATTTTATTAGTTAGTCACAAGTAAAATGAAACTATATGTAACGTTACAATGAACTGGATATATATTGTGCACTACTTGCGTAACATAATGATACATTCTTTGAGTGTAAGTAAAGAAACTACTCACAAATCAGATAACTGAAAAATCAGTAGTAAGTGTAAATAAATTGAAATGAAATAAGAAAACTAAAAGTATATCACTTTTCATTGATGACAATTGGAATGAACTGAAGATGACCAATCGATTGTCCCCGTGTAACCCAGTCGATCCCATCGTATCCAGTTTAAACGTGCGATTAAGTCTAGAAGAAACATAGCTTGATTAAGTTAACTGTAAAACTTGTACACTATGATAGAAAGTAATTCCCTTTAAGTTGATTTTTTTAGATATATCACATAGTGATTCCTGAAGTTCTAGTGAGAAGTTGTTGCCGGTGAGGCCAACTAAGTCAGACATCATAACACCTGCACCACGACAGCACTGGATGGAGGTCGTGTTATATCAATATATAAACCGTCACAAACCTCTAAATTGAATCAATTTAGTGCTTATTAGTGGCTAGCTTCGAGAGGTGATTGCGGAGGTTTTAATCACAAGTTGTGACTGGTGAAGCAGACCGAGTGAACGTGAAGATAAATTCTCAACGATAACAATGTGTGATGGTTGTGTGTGTGTGTGTGTGTGTGTGTGTGTGTGTGTGAAGAACTGACAGAAGTTGGAGATATGGACCAATGGATTCTAACCCATTGGCTCAATGGTAACGCGCTGGCTGTAAGACCTTAAGGTCGTAGGTTCGACTCCTGACGTTGTCTTGGGTGTGCACTGCTGAAGAGTTCCATACTACAATGAAACATTTGTTCGGGAGTGAGGCTAGAGGTTGTTCCTAAGTGTTACAGCGTTCTGTGTGGAAGTACGTATTTTCTGTGTTTGGTAAGCATATATTGTGGAGTGAAAACTACTATCATAAGCCATTTTTCCTGCAGTTTAAAGGTTTAGTTAACTTACTTTGATTTTGAGCGTCATTCTTCATAAACAAATGTACTCACATCCCGACTAGTAGGTGAAAGTGCAACCAATACTTTGGACATGAATAAACAGTATGAGATATGATTCAGTGACAGAGGGCGTTTTAGAAACTATAAAAATAGGTGAAATATGCATACAGCATACAGAAACTAGGTGAATTCCCGCATACAACTTTACATCCAATGACGACGCACGATAACACCTGGGGATAACCTTTAGCATCACCCCTGCCCAGTGCTCCCAGGTTTTCAGTGTTTCTCCAACTGATGCCAGTCCGTAATGAATATCAACCTGAAATCAATAAATAAATCGCCACAAACCTCAGATTTGGATTTCGAAAGTGGTATTCAATAAGATTTACTATCTGATCATGGGTGTGTGATAAACATTCAGAATCAAGTATGCTTATTTGCTGACATTAATTTCAATCACTCATCAAAATTCGATGAAAAAATATTCGTGGACAAAATAAAGTCTTCACGAATAATTGAATTGCTATAATTCGTGTTCTGAGATGCGGAAATTCTCTTCAACGTACACATGTATTTTATCTGATTTATCTCTGTATGCTTCCGAAAAAGGTTACGTAACGCATGTCTATAGTTCAAGGTAGTATTCATCATGGACTGACATCAGCTGGAAAACCACTGAAAACCTGGGAGTCCAAGAGAACTATTTCGTCCTGTTATGGAACGCTTCAAAAGTGCCCACCCACGATCACGCCAGGGATCAAACTCAGGACCTTCATATTTTACGGAGAAAGCGTTATCCATCCAACCACTGGGTCACAGTTGGATGCTTCACAGTTTCCTACCTCCTCATGTCTATTCGCGATATAGCGTGACTACCCACTAAGGTCTTCAGTTGACATTCGCTTCACTTCCTACTGGTTAACTTCACAGCTTCTCACTAAAACTATGGGGTATAAGGGTGAAAATGGTTTTAACTGATCCATTTCATATTCAAATCAATATTCTCAAAATATTTTTATTTTATGATCACTTTTAATGTGCATATTTATACACATAGTGTATATATGTATCCAAGAATACATGTTTCAATAAATCAAGTAGGACTAGATTTGCAGAACAAGATGGTGTCAATTTATTTTAGACATACTCCTCAGCTGCATACAGTCTAAAATTACAGTTCTGAACTGGTATCAGTTAAAGAACCAGGAAAATGTGGACCACTGGATGCCGATCCATTGGTTCAATGGTAACATGCTCACCGCAAAACCCAAAAGTCCTGGGTTCGATATGTGGCCGTGCGGGGTGACGGGTGCTCACTGCAGAGAAGTTTCGCTCTAGGACGAAACAGCTGTGCAGTATCCTCAGGCTTTCACTAATTGTTCAACTAATGTCACTCTGTGATGAATAGCAACTTCAAGTAGATAAATTCCGACAAACTTCCAAACTAAAGTTATAATAGCAATATGCACATCAAACAAGAAATCAATAATCTTAAGTTGTACATGAAAGTCGTTGCTAATCTATGTAATATTGAAGGAAATCGCACACCGGAGTTTGATTGTTAGCCTTATCTCCATCTTAGCAGGGATCTCACGTAGAGTTTTTGACGTTCCTCTTTCGTATTGTAACTCCGTGAAAACCTGAGATTCCCTATTTTCTGTGTTACAGTTGCCATTCCTGTTGCCACTAGTTCATTTCTCAGGCGTTTTTTAATTAAATTCCGAATAAACTCAAAAATATTTTTGAATTATTTGTTTCACTTCCGCATTTAACTCTTTTAATTTACCAATCAGATTTCTGAATCTTATTGCTTAAACATTTCACTAGTGGATAATGTTCTGGGATTTGAAGTGATTGGTTCTGGATTCGAGTTTCAGTGGGGACAAAATCACTCACTGGGAGGTTAGGTACGTCCAGCGGACAAACCCCAAAATGGACGAAATGCGCATTTTTGATTCTACTGCTATCCACTATCAGTTTTTAAATTCACTATTCCGATTATAACTGATTTTAGTGGGCTGATATGAAGTTCAGATATCTATCAGAATATGTTAGTTTCCTATGGTCTGTAGCTAGAATCTAAACCATCATCTTCCAGTTGACCATCTTTTAACTTTTGCTGATATCTTTGTCTATGGAATGTGTTTCAAACCAATAATCCACTGGCTCAGGGTTGGTTGCCTAAAACAGTGGTAGGTGTGAAAGCAATTTTAACTATGAAATTATATTAAGCGTAGAAACGAGCAAAAACAGTCGTTTCGCCGCATGATTACCTCAAGGTAGCACTCATCATAGGCTGACATCAGTTGAGGAACTATTGGGAACTTGGAAGAACCTCGTTTTGACATATGTTTTGATCCTGAGTCCCTTCCATGAAAGAGTTGTGGGTGCATACTACTAAGGAGTCCCGTAATATGATGTAACGTGACCAGTCGGAAGTGAAATGGATGTTGACTGTAGACCTTGGTGAATAGTCGTGCAATATTGCGAATTGACAGAAGTTGGTATCTGTAAAGCACTGGACTCGGACTCAATAGTTGAATGGTTAATGCGTTCGCCGTAAAACCTGAAGGTCCTGTGTTAGGGTGCTGGTGGGGTCATGGGTGCATACTGAAGAGGATTTCCATAACAGGATGAAACAGCTGTCCAGTGCTCTCAGGTTTTCAGTAGTTCTCTAACTGATTTCGGTCTGCGATGAATGCTACCTCAGAATTGAAAATCCCCTTTCACCTACAAATATATTACTGTATAGTGCTCATTAACGAAAAGCTTCTAGCGTGATATCCTACAGTTTTAATGAGAGCTAACCAGTGGCAAATGAAGTGGGTGCCGACAGAAGACTTTGATGGTTAGTCAGGCTATATTAAATTCGCTATATCGTTTTTTGAGAAAAATGCACATTTTTGTTGCTGTTAGTCATCTTAATTGGCTTTCAAGTAAAACTTAGCATAAACGTACTCCATGTTCACTTGCATTTATTATTATTATTTTTCATGTCTGCGGCTAATATGAGTTATAAAAAGTTATTTTATTGTCAAAGAACTGAAAACGCATACTGAAACATTCGAAAGCATGTAAAAAATATTCTATCCCTAGAATTGAGAATGGTTTTCATTCGCCGACTGTTGATTCAAGGAATTGTGAAGGATACACTGCCGCTTTGAACCATATCCATGTGTGTCTATCAGTTTACCTGCTCATGTTGAGTTGGTTACGTTGGTTGGACAAGGCACAGTCTTTACAAACGTATCTTCAAACACTATCCAGTATGGCTATCCAGATGAGAACTCAAATCAAGCAACAGTTCCATCTTGGTTTATTTGGTCAACTCTGGTCATGTCACTTCCCCACAGTCTTCTTTAAAAATCCTATACAAAGTAAAGCCAAACGACTCAAAAGGCATACAGATTCGTCACTCATGCATAGTAGAAGTGTTGGCAATCCAACAGTTGAAGCCTGAGCTCAGTGTAGCGTGGTCATACTCCTTCCTTGAGTTTATTCATCTTATTCTTACTGACTGATTATCAGTATTTTTTTATTCTTACTTTGCGACTTACTTTTCCACATCTGTTTATTTTCTAACCTTTTAGTTATCATCTTAATCTGCTGCAAACATACCTTATACACACTATGATTACGCAATCCCTCTCTAACTTTAAAATCGATTTTGTATTCAACCCAAAAGCTTTCTGTTTTGATGACCAATATATTGACCTATTAGCCAATTGGTAGACTAATCTATTTGCTTGTTGTTACTATAAATACTATTGTACAGCTATCAGAAATGATTCGTCCAAAGGAAGATTTATTTCACTGAATTACTTTATTGAAATATTTAAATAAATCTAATGCTGAAGAAGAAATATATCTTCACTTACCACTAGTATACCAGGTGAGTTGATCCCTTTTAGAGGAATTTAAGCGTTCAATCATGAATTGTATTACTAATTGACCTCTTTTCATAGGTCTGTCTATAGCAATAAAATCCATATTGGCTAGTAAATCTTTCAGTAGAGCTAAATATGCGATTGCAAGTCGTAGTGTATCAATCTTTGATATTCGTTTTTCATATGGAAATGTTGGCAAACATGCTCGTAGTGCCTAGTTGAAAGGGAAGAAAAACAACAATAGCAGTAGCTTATAGTGAAGGAAGATGTTAAAGAAATAAAGTTGGCGTTTGAAGTGATGGATACTTGGTCCGAGTCTCAGCAAGAACAACATCACTCGCTGGGGTCCAGGTACATCAAGCTTTGGTGTCCTGGATGCCACTGCAAGTCACCAAGATGAACACAACCTCATGAATAACTGACAATGTTGAGGCATCCATACAGGAGCCTATCTATCAAGAAAGGTAGAAAAATTTGTCCCTATATAGCTACGGGAAATTACTAGGGTAAATAAATTTACTCATGGTAGACAGTTACAATAGCAAGAAGAACTGAAAGCTAACAAGATTAGGCGATTTAATGAGATTATAATAACAGATTTGTTTATGATTATATGTATGCGTCTGAAAACAATTAACCTACCGCAAAAATCGCTTAATATGTCTGCATATCTTGTTGTTTAAAGGGCATATTTTAATAGCCCTAACTGGTATGATGTATGAATTATTGTTTTATAAGATGGGGATTCATAAGCAGAAGATAGAGCAACTTTAAAGGCTAACCTAGCAACAATCAAAATAACTAATTAGGTTTCTGCATTTTGTCTAGAAAGGCAGATTTTCATAAAATAGAGATGTTTGATTAGTTATTTCAATTGTTGCTAGGGTGACCTTTAAAGTCACACTATATAAAGAGCAGAAAAGACAATTAGGTAAAGTAATATTTCTTTTTCCGAGTTAGGACTTCTCATTCCAATCAAAATCTACTTGAATTCGATAGAGGGAGCATCATGTTGATTATCACTTTGACAATCTGAGATAATCATGTTTTTGGCAGACTTGCATCATTGATACTGGGTGATGATTGGGAGTTTAATGAAGATCTCGCATTTGATAGGATTCGAGCCAGCGACCATTAAGTTTCCAACCCAGTGATTTGTTCACTGGGCTACGAGATTCAAATGCTGACCATATCTTAATTTCACTTAAGTCAACAAAGGTTGCTCAACTACTATGTGAACTCTTTATGCATTACTATTTCTGGTTCCAATCATGCTGCGGCCGAGATTTTCATTTCACATCTAATCATCACTTAGTATTTATCAATAATAAAAGTCTGTCAAACAAAGACTATCTCAGACAGTCAAACTGATAATTTCTTTTTCCACCTACTGAGACTGTACAGTTGTATTCTTAATCACTGAAAACCAGTAAGTCTTTTATTGAGTAATAAGTTGAGACTGTATCAATAACTCGATACTGGAGAACCGAGCGAACATGAATGTAGAAACGAAAATGTTCAATTAATAGTCTATAGAGTGATGAAAGTGATAAGAGAAGGTAAACATTCCAGCATGAAAGAATATCTTTCTTTAAGAGAGTATTCAGTGTTTTTCAGAATTTCTAATACTGTATCTATCATCATTTGAAGTCAAAACTTATAAATTATTGGAAATATTTCAACGTTTTGTTTTAGCTTCAAGTTTTCTTCGTCGAAAACCATTTCGAGTGAATACTTGTAAATTACTTGTTGCTAATTATCAATCTGGTTTTTTATGTAGATGAGGAATGCAGCGTTCATACATCATCTATATAAGTGGGTATCTTCAGTCGCTGGACATAATACTGTGGTATTCAGAAGATGAAGAGAGGATCCTATCACTACTTTGTTATTTTATATATAGATCTCTTTGCTGACACAAACTGAAAAGAAACAGTTCGTCTAAGTGCTGTTTCGGAGTATGGATGAAAACGTGGTTAGCTTTCATGTATTCGGATAGAAAGCCAATAGTTTGTGAATTAGTGCATAAACAAAGAGTAAGGCAACATCTAGAGATATTATCAGCTTGCAACCTACATTAGGTAACTAGTGTAACTAGTAGCTAGGTAACTAGTTCACTAGTTACTAGCCGGTCCTAAGCCTCAATAAAGAGGGAAAGTGGGACATATGGCTAGCAACCCTACTCCTCAAAACCAATCCAATCGCTAAAGAAACTTCAAAGCCCAAAGAAAATATAAAACATAAAATTAAACTTATTCCTCATTGAATCAGAGGGACTAAATGACGCCAGTTGGCGGAAGCCTTCTGGAGGCCAATTGGTCTATGTGTCTTCTCTCGATGAAAGGGAAAGTAAAAATGAGGAGATGGAATGTCCGCACCAAGCATGAACCTGCCAAGGCTGCCCAGATTGCCAGAGAGATGAAAAGGTATGGCGTAGAAGTGCCATGCTGGGAATTTGCGAAAGCAGACGGAATGGAAGTGGACTCTCCAAACCGTCAACTGGAGAGTCAGTAATCTACTCCGGTGTTCTCACCCAGACGACAACCATGACCACACTGAGGGAGTGGCTATCATGATGTCTCCAAGATCAGCGAAGGCTCTCATGCAGTGAGAACCAATCTCTTCCCCCAGGATCATGACAGCAAGATTCAACTCAAGAGGAAGGAAAGTAGCAATCATACAGTGCAACCCTATGCACCTACAGATAATGCAGATCACGAGAAGAAGGAGGAATTCTACACACAACTGCAATCAATACTGGACAAGACCCCACACCAGTTGGCGACATCAAAATTCTAATGGGTGACATGAATGTCAAACTGGGAGCAGACAACGCAGGAAGAGAACTGATCATGGGTCGAGAAGCACTCGGTGAGATGATGAGGAAGAATGGAGAACTGTTGTCAGACTTCTGCGTATTCAACGACTTGGTGATTGGAGGCAGTTTACAAATACAAGTATATTCACAAAGTGATATGGATTTCACTAGATGGGCACACTAAAAATCAGATCGACTTCATCTCAATGTGAAAAGAGAGGAGACGCAGCCTACTGTATACAAGATCAAGAAGGGGAGCAGATGTAGGTTGACACCACTTACTATCCAGTGCAAGGAACCTTCGAAATCAAGTTGAAAGCCTTCAAGGAAGTTGATGATGACAGACCACAGTTCAAGTTCAACACCCAGAAACTGAAGGACAAAACTATAAAGGATTTCTTCACGTAATGTATTAGGAAAAAATTAGAGACTTTAAGTCACATTGCCGAGGAAACCTGAGCCGAAAAACACTGGAAATCTTCTAAAGCGATGTAGAGGGAAACCTGCGTAACCGTGTTAGGAAGGGAGAAGAAAGAAGACAAGGAATGGATCTCGACGGACACATGAAAGCTGAAAGAGGAGGGAGAGGAAGATGGTGAAGCAGAAGATGAACCAGTGTAGGGATGAACAACGAAAAGAGGAACTGAACGCGACCTATAAAACACTACAATGGACAAAGAAGTGAATAGGAGTGCGCGCAAAGACAAAAGGAACTTCTATGACAAACTGGCAAGTGAAGCAGAACAGGCTGCTAGTAGGAGAGACCTGACAACACTATTTCAAATAACCAGGTTACCATCTGGGAGGGAAAAGGTCAACGCAGATAAATACAATGAAAGATAGTGACGGAAAACTAGTTACTAAAGGGTAGAAACAAAGGAAAAAATGGGCTAACCACTTCAAAAAAACTCTTGAATCGACCACCACCATCTGTAACTCGTCCAGAAATACCGCCAGCAGCTTAGCCACAGAATTAACAGTGAACACAAACCTTCCGACAGAAGCCGAAGTCCTGAACTCCATAAAGTTGCCGAGACCTGGGAAAGCGTTGGGACCAGATAAAATTCCATCAGAAGCACTGAAACATATGCAGAGACAACAGCGGACGCGCTCAAACCGCTATTGTAGAATGTTTGGAAGGAAGAAAGGAAAGGTACCTGGTGATTAGAAGAAGGGCTACCTTGTCAAACCTAAGTCTCTGCAAGAATTAGTGCGGAATCATGCTGGTGTTCAACCCAAGCAAAATATTAAGTCGAATAATCCTAAAGAGATTAAAAGGTGCACTGCATTCAAAATTACGAACGGAACAGGCTGGATTCAGGAAGCACAAATCATGTATGGACCGAATTGCAACGCTACGCTCCGCTTCATCATAGAATAGAGCGCAGAATGGCAGTCAGCTCTCTACCTCAACTTTATCAACTTTGAAAAGGCCTTCGACAGCGTCGGCCGATAAGTAGGTTGGCAGTTGCTACAACACTACGGAGTGCCACAAATCTTAATCAACCTCATTCAACAACTATATGAAGACGCAACATGCCGAGTGATTTACAGTGGAAAGCTGAGTGATGCCTTTGGAGTCTGGACGGGAGTAAGACAAGGCTGCCTACTATCACCGATCATCTTTCTGACTGCGGTCGACTGGACTGGACTGGATCATGCAACAGGCTGTGAGCAGCTGTGAGAAGATGGGCATACGCTGTTTGATGGATGAACAGGCTCTAGAAGATTTGGATTTCGCCAACGATGGTGATTTATGTCTAATGTCGCACAAAGTCGGAGATCTACAGGCAAAAACCAACAAGTTGACAGAAGAGGTAACGAAGAGGGGAACTCAAGTGAATGTAAAGAAGACGGAGGTGATGAAGATACCGAACCAACAGCAGCATCAACAACAAACACCAATCATCACTGACGAGAGAAACCTAAAGGAATTTGTCTCTTTCACCTAGATAAGCAACGCAGAATCGTTTCAACCACAGAGGACACAGATGAGGATGTCAAAGCCAGGATCGGAAAGTCGGAAAGACAGGCCTTCATTATTCTGAAACCAGTCCGAAGATCTACTGTAATCCACTGTGCTGCACTCAGCATAAGGAAGAAGATCTGAATTTTTAACACTAATGTCAGTCTTGTCAGTGCTTCTATGTGTTGGTTGATAGATAAGGCGTGTTACAAAAAGCATTTGCAACAAACTAAGGGCATTCATCAACAGTTGCCGCCTACGCTCACTCGATACTGACGATCAGATGATCAGAATAATAAGAATAACCAACAAGGAACTCACTATAGCCGGCAACGAACCAACAAAAAACCCATCATCTAACAGCTATGCAGAAGAAGAAAGTGAGGATGGATTGAACATACACTGAGAAGATTGTTTGGAGATATGCGCCAGGCCAGGCCCTCGAGTGAAACACAATTGGGTAACGACGAGTTGGGTGTCAGAGGCGAGGGTGACATGAAACAGATGGTGTGAGGAAGACATAAAAGCTTCTGGACATTGTTAGAGCCAGGTTCAAAAGACCGAAGTGGAGACGTGCTACTGAAGCCCTATGTTACACTAGGAACCCAAGGGATAAATAATAATAAATAGCCTACACTGGCTTCGTTCACTAAATCGATGAAATCGAACAAGTCTAGAGAATTATGTGTTTCCGGGTGGTTTCTAACTTGCTGAAAGATTTCAGTGACTCATTTAGCAATAGTATTCCTACTTTAATTATTCAGTGTAGTGGGAAATTCTTCATTAGCACATTACGGAAGTCATATGTATGAAGTAACAAGGAAAAAATGTAACCATAGTTGTTTAAATCATTTGGAATAACACTGCAGAATAATTATCGCATTACTTTCCAGTTTAATATGTGTGTTATAAATTTCATGTTTACACGACTATCCTCAAATGTTCAGTTTCAAAGAATCAAAAGTTTAGGAACTAGTATGATATCTGAAACTTATAAGAAAATGTTAGACAAAACGTTATTAATTTCAAAGTGAAATGAGAAGTATTCCAAGTAGGCTTTCATATGCTGAGCTTTTGACCTTAACTCGGCAGCCGCTATAGACTAACCTTGTCGTACATGTCTGAAGAAGTTTGTTCTACTGTAAATGTATCGAATTATCACCTTTTTTAACAAGTAGAAAGGTTGATATTTCATGTGAATTGGAAAACAGAAATTACGGATACGAGAAATGTTCACGCAAGTTCAGCACTTCAGAATATTCTTTAGAGACATAACCCAGTATCTTAGACAGTCAAGCTTCAGACCGTGGTACCCAGTTCACTGCCTTGTTTACCGAAGTCCATTTTGGTTAATAGGTGGTAGTATTAGTATGTTTGGCTTATCGACTTGTGTACGGAATTGTACAAGATCATAGAACCTAAAAGGTTTAAATTCTATGACAGATATTTGATATGATTGCAAAGATTTTATTTTATGATTTGTGGTAAATTGGTTTAGTAGCAGAACGTAAATTGTGTAAGAATAACACATCACTGCAGATTTTACTTGGTGGTGGCTGGCAGTAGAATCTAAGATGCACGTGACATCTAATTCAGAACTCATCAGTCGGATGTACCTAGACACCAGAGAGGACGAGAAACTTGATCTAGTAAAACAACGGGAAATTATAAGAACAAAGAAATAATAAGTGATACTCGTTACACAAAAGGTGACTCTTGTGTGGTAGGATGCGTCGACCACTTTGCTTAGTTCGGGAGTTGTATTAGCTCAAGCGGGCTACTTATTGATGAAATCTCAGCTCGAATACAGAAGGTCCATTTGGCGCTTGTCAGTTTACGTCACCTCTGGAGCCATCTGGTGAGATATCGCACTGTCAATCAAAAGACGAATATACTGCGCTACAATCCGCTCTGTCCTGGTTTATGCCTCTGAGACATGACCGTGAAAAGTAGAAGAAATGAAGTGATTGAAGGGTTTTGCACATAGGTGTCTTCGTACTATTGCTTGCATATTGAGCTCAGGCGAAAGATACAAGGCAAGGCGGTTAATAAGGCTGTCAAACTTAGTCGAGTGAGATGGTCTGAACACGTACTGCACGTGCTGATCCACCGCTTGTCTCGATGAACCATGATCGGAGAAGCTGGGTTAGGTTGGAAGAGAGTTCAGGATGACATGTCGCCAGTCGATGAAATATCTCACTGCTGGTCTGAGTCATGTATAAAGATGTAGACTGGCTGGTTGGGGTCTCAGCAACGAAATGATTCCATGATTGAGGACTCTTTGTGAGATGGCTTAAAATCGGTCATAATGACGCAGATGTGTTAACCCTTTGAAATCTTATATAGCTTGAATATCCGCATTTACCTTTATCTTCAGATTGTATAATTTCTGACACAACCTAATCTACTTAGATATCAGGCCCCTTCTATCAATTTGTTTTTTGCATACTACTTTGAAGTGTGGCAACTTGAAATGAAGCATTTGTATCTAAGGTTCTATGTTGATCTTGGTTAGTTAGTCAGTCTCAGGTGACCGTACCTCAGTGGCCTAGTGGATGGCGCTTTACTGTTTTAAGCGATAGGCACTAGGTTCTAGTATCAGTTGGAAAACCACCACTTACTGGCATACAATCGCGTGCAGCTGGTGAATCCCAAATAGGATGAAGAGCACCTCTTGGATTCTGCTGCTAGCCACCAAGTAAGTTATAACAGGTTCATTCTTTGATTACTGAAACTTTATTGTAAGTGTCGTTACTAAACAATTCTAGTTATATATAAATTTCTTTTCGGAAATAGACTATTAAATCAGAATCAATTAATGAACTTTCTCCAACTGCTTTGTAGGCGTATCAAATTTTCAAAAAAGAATGTAACCTAATTAATTATTATTAACATTTAATGCATAGTGTCATACAAAACTCATCAGAAACTTACTTCAAAGGCTGAATTTATACTGAACATTCTTCTCCTTTCACGTACCTTTGCACCCGATTGTAATTCCTTATAAAGAAGTGTGCCAGTGAAACCTTCATCAGAATTAGCATTAACTGCAAAGAAACCATCATGGCTGCTACCAATATTATTTATCTCATGTACTCCCATGCTACTAGTACAATTTTGAGTAGTATGTTTACTGTTATTGAAAGAAAAATTCAAATTTTCTATTGTATTCTGTACTAGTAGAGGAGAATTATCCATTTTTATACTGTAACAATCAGGATTCTCATAAAAACTAGGTTTATGCAACATTGACAAACTACACAATGGTAAATAATCCTTATGACTGTAACCAGGAAGTAGTTGAGAAGACTGATTTTGTTGGGTGTAGACTGTACAATCTGTGATAGTTTGACTTATATATTCTGGAAATTGTTCACATTCGTTTTGTTTGATTAATAACTGGTCATTATGGTTATCCATAATCATTGGGTTTTATGGTAAGTGTCTAAACCAGCGTGATTATGTAGTCTAGGTAATACTGGTAGTTATTACAGCGGCGTAAATAGTAGCGGTGAGCGATAACCGATAATATGCCAACAGAAGTGAGGTTTTGTAATGCAATATCATTAAATATTATCCCTTATTTGTAAGCTATCATCGGCTACACTGAACACCAGCCTGTATATATATATAACTCGTGTTTTGATTAATCCTGATTTTTCTGGCTCAAAATCTCATCATCTACACAACTGTTAAAATGACCTATTACTATGATTTAAATCTGTAAGTTGTTTTTTTGTGTGTAAAATTTTAATTGAAAAGAAATTTGAACAAACAAGAATAAAATTGAAGTATCCCACTTAAATTTTTGATTGAGTGTACAATCTGTCTAGTATAATTATCAAATATTTTTGTTAGATAAATTAACAGGATAGATGGATAGAACAATAATAATACTAACTTGATTATTATTATTGTTATAACCATCGACTCTTCTTAAAGTGTCTTATTTAATCGTTTCTCTCTTCCCTCTTTTTCAATTTGCCTTTCTTACTGTCACCTCCTGTAACTTCAATCTTCTGTTACCATTAATCTTATTCTTTTGAGAAATATGAAATACATGTAAACAAGCCAAAATACTGTTAGTGAAACACTGATACCGTCATATTTACCTCGAGGCAAATAAATATTGTTTTAAACTGGAGAAGAAGGTGCGAATTTCGACTGTTTCTGTCATTGTCAGCATTATTCCATTGAGAAGGATAGAAATAAACCTTTGAAATGAAATATGTCAGTAAATTATAAATATGCATCTTAATGAAGTGTTATTTTAGATTACAAGATGAAGAGGATGATGACGATGATGATGATATCTGAGGTGATGAAAGTCAAATTTTATGTGCATATACTGGTCAGCATTACCATAAGCAAAGAAGTAAGGCACAGGGACTGTAGTAGTACCATTACACACAACTTTTAACACTACGAGATATTCGAAGATAAAACGGGGAGTTTTTCAGCGGTAGGACTCGAGCCAGCGACTAGCGGGTTTCAGACCTAATGAGCAACTAAAGGAGCTACGAGACCCGACCTGAGGATTTTAAACTACTACCATGGGAATTTCTGATGTGTTACTATTGCTTGATCGTGCTAACATTCGCTGCGTAGTCATCACTTCTCATACCAGTCGAAATCTACCTGAATTGGATATAGAGATCATCATATTGATAATCATTTTAACTATCTAAGGCAGCCGTGGTTTAGCAGATTAGTATTATTGATAGTGGGTGATTATTGAAGGTGAAATAAAGATTCGAGCTGCAGCAAGATTCAAGTCTTCCGATGACATGGTCCAAATAAACTTCAACATCCCTAAGGCATTTCAGGATTATACCATGGAAAATAGTTTATATTGTTGAAATGCGTGATTTGAAAGTGCAGATATATAAAAGCCCCACTAGCACTGAGCATATATGTAGTGCTGCAATGGAAGCTGATATTCTCTTATGAATGCTTCTAAGTCTGTCTTGTAAACCTGCGAAAAAACCTTTTAAATGCAATTCAACCCAACCCATCCATATCCTTAGTACAGAACACTCATACGTACACTAAATTTGATGTTTGCCAAGCAATTATTAAACAGGATTTAAAATAAAACTGCTAAGATAATATGAAGTTTATTCGAAACATCCTGAAGTGAGAGAACCTAAATACTCAACGTGTTTTATCCATACTTTTGTGGCTTAATATTATTATGCTTGACACTAAACACACCTTCAACTCGCTTTGTAGATCAGTTAGGATAACCACTTCACTAAACTCACATGGCATCATCAGATGTCAAAACATACAGCTGCGAGGTCTGAAACGCCAAAGAATTTCTTCTTACTGAGGAATGTCTGTTGATGAACATAACTATACGTTCCCACCAGCGAGGTAATATGTTGATTTTTGTCGCTTTGTTTGGTCAATGTGACATTAACCGTGGAAATAAAAATGAGCTACCTGCGAATTGTGTGGACTACTTCCTTTTGCTTTATATGGACGTATTGTTAGAAACTTCGGTCTTATATATATATATATATATATATATATATATATATATATATATATATATATATATATATATATATATATATATATATATAGTTCGACTTCAGTGCATTCAATGGATGTCTGCAACTTACTGACGAACAACGTTATGACTGGGTTTTGCGCTGCCTGGTAACTTACGCAGCTAATTATCTGTATAATGATGTATAAGACATGAAAGTGATGAACTCACCGCAGGCCTACAAAGTGTTTCAAGAAGCAGACAAGTACTACGTCGTTAGTAAGCATTACTGCGAGACACCACTTGGTGTGTGACTCAGTCGCATGATACTTCTGCCTGTAAATCAGAATATTCTTCTCGAAGTTCTAAAATGCTCCTAAATATTAGACGCACTTACTCTAATTCCATATTAGATTTGTTTATTTGGTTTATAACACACAGTGATGTAGTATTGTGTACTTGATGATGTTTCGAGCATAAATTATTATTGCTCATAGTCATATCAGTGTAATCACACTACTTCCGCGATTTGACTTTTATAATTATGTCACCTCATATGAATTGTTTTTATTGGCAGAGTTTTCCATATCTCTGGTACAGGTGTTGCGTTGTTTCTATTACATTTGTTGTATGTTGATTCGATGAACAAAGATTCAGTAATCAATCTCTTTTTCCACCTAATTATATCGGACCTAAGTACAGTTATTTTATCCCACCCTGTTATGTGGTTATGTGTTGATGCACGCATTTCAATAACCGAGTGCTTTTCTAGACTATTGATCTTATTCGGGTGTCATTCTATATTTAGCTAAATTCCTATGTTCCGCTATTCTAACTGACCGCGATCGGCTAGTCTGACCTATATACTTGACGTCACAGTCATCACATGGAATTTGATAGATTAGATTATTTTACTTGATTGGTTCTGTCGGATCCTTAAGCCAGCCGACAAAGTTTATCTCTGAGTGATTTTGTAGGTTTAAATGCCACCCTAATTTCTGTTGTACCTTCTTCATAAGGTGACACAATGGAGGGTTGTCATTATTATTTCTACTCGTATTATTCTTATTATTTCATTTTTTACTCGTTAATAAGAACTCTTTTATAAACTGTAGAGGATAGTTATTAACTATTAGTGCTTCTTTTACGTGTTTCAGTTCCTTGTTTAGGTCTTTGCATTGACTAGTCAGTTTTCTAGCTCTGTCATTTAGGTATTTGACTAAATCTACTTTAACTGACATTGAAAGAGATGACTTTAAGTTGAGATACCTGTTGGAATGTGTCGGTTTTCCGTAGACGGTGGTATCCAAACCACCGTCTGTCCTTCGTTTTATCCTGCAATCCAATATAGGTAATTCTCCTCATTCGTTTTCTACCTCGTAAGTGAATTGTATTCCGCATACTACTGAGTTTATGTGTATGAGGAAATTGTCTATATGTTTTAATTTGAACACAGTCATCCGCATATCGTCACTATATCTTAGGTGCAGGACTGAACGTTTGTAATGCCATGTTTTCCTGAATATCCATAAATATATCTTCTAAGATTGGGGATATTGGCGATCCCATTGCTACTTCTTCTGTTTGTCCTAAAACTGTGGAGTTCAGGCACAACTGTACGCCTAATATGAACTCATCAACCGATATCTTAGTTCTGTGAGTAAGTTCTGAGTCAATAGTTAGTTGATTTTTGATGGCAGTCAGTGCCATATTGATTGGTAGTTTAGTATAAAGACTTGTTACACGGAAGTTAACCATTTTTTCATCCTCTTCTATACGTAGGTCATTAAGCCTTGGTTTTAACTCTTGAGAGTTTACCAGTCTGGAATTTGAACGGTTCCTTACATGACAAAATATCGATACTAAGTACTTTGCTATTACTTTTGAAGTCAACTATGGGTCTAATGGGATGAACCTTAATAGTGCCGTAAATTCTGCTAGGATTATTAGTTTTAGGCATTAAGTTAAACCATTAAGACTCACCTGGAGATGGCCTTAGTTGGCGTATCAGATCGACTATAGATTTCTTAATTTTATTCATGACCGTGTCTAAAAGCTTCTTGATTCCTTCATATGGTTCTTTTTGGGTATGTTCGTCAGTTTTGTTGAAGTAATCCAATTTGTCGGCAACTACTGTTGAATCGCCTTTATCAGATTTAATAATTACTACATTATTGTCATTTCATAGATTATTCAGAGCTGAATTTTCAAGTTTTGTTAAGTTTCGCTGTCTCTTCTTTTGTCTTTCCAGTGTTAACGCACACTGTACTCCAACCTATTCAGAAGTTGCTGCATCCACCGAACTTAACGCTACTTCTATACTAGATATGACATCATCTGGTTTTAGATGACATGTTATCAAGTTGAAGTTTAGTTCCTTTTCGAGTGCTTTCGTCCCAGTTGAGCTTGGGATTCTAGGATAGAGATCGACCACACACTTTGTTCTATAGATGTTTGAGGATGTTTCATTCGCAATTTGATTATCTTCCGAGGGATATTTTTCTTGCGTTAATTTGTTGAACTTTTTGATTTGACTGTTTCTAAATTTCCTGAAAGCAGCTGATCTTGTTTTATCTGAAGTTTGTCTAAGAAATTCATAGTCTCTGCGGTTTATTATCTTCAGAAGTTTACATTTCAGTTCACTTTTATTCCGGATCGTACTTAACCTCCTCATAATCCTGTGGATTTCTTCCTTGAGACAAAGTTTGCTGACGTGTTCTATTTCTTTTTTGATTTTGTCAGTGGATATTGGAATAGGTCAACAAAGTGCCCAAGTTTTGCACTTACTCTGAGACTAAGCTTACAGTGGAACCTTTCGATGAGTGAAGAATCTTCTAGTTACCATTCGTGATGGCAGTTTTTAACATTTGCAGCTTTTTAGCACTTCGAATACCCCTATTATATTATACAGAAATTTGTTTCGATACATTCA